TGGGATAATGACAAAGGTTATTACATCAGCAGGTGAGAATACAAGAGGGCTGAGCACAACAACAATGAGAAGAGATAAAGTGAGAGGGTTTCACAATGACGATGGAAAGCTCAAGCACTATGATAATGAAGAGAGTACACTAGGATGACTCGTGAAGGCTAAACTTTTAAGAGGGGAAAGAGATCAAGGATTAGGATTTGGGGATCTAGGGATTTCAAAGAAATATAGGATGATTCTTACAAAAAATCGTCTTATATATATTTTACATATATGACTGTTTATGGAAAGAACTATCCTATCAGTGATGAATATTTTTTAAACAAAATAAAAAATTCATGCATAAATACATATAGGATAGTTGTTATAACTTTCATATTATATATATAGGGTAGTTATTCATCCTAACTCTTATATTTATTCTCACATATCTCCACCTCCTCGTATAAGATGATTGTGTACATAACCATCTTATACGAAGCATCTTATATTAATAGTTATGTAGTAGTGTGATTCTATTAATGTAGTATGGAAACTCGTTGTAATGGCAAATGAGAAGAGCTTTGAATTTATTAGCAATGAGCAACAACAGCAATTGGGACATGTTTTTTGAAAAAGTAACATATGTGCTGATTGGCTTGCCAATCATGATATTCAGCAAGATTATAGATGCATTTTTTGTTTGCAATTTCCTCATGAGCTTCAAAATTAATTGGTCGTACTGGGATAGTTTGGGGGTCTTTGGCCCTCGTTTTTCTTCTAGTGGAAAAATAGTTTCCATTAAGAGAGATATATATATATATATATATATATATATAGAGAGAGAGAGAGAGAGAGAGAGAGAGAAGCAGTATTATGCCCTTGTGTTTTCATCCCTACAATGCTTGCTCTATCCTCGCGCAAACTCATGTTGACTCGTGAAGTACGCAACAATCGCTCCCACTCCTGCCGTCGATGAACAAACCACGAACAGGACCATACTATTAAACTTTAAAAATCAGATAATATTCCATTTTGTATCATTGCTTTGGATCCTAACCCATGCATTAAACTTTAATATCATAAAAATTTGATAATTTGGTCAAGGAAAATGTTCACACTATAGATTTATGGTTGAAAAGGAGATTTGTTAAGCAGTGGGTAGGTAACCCAAAAAGGGAAGCCAGTGCGACAAGACTTGGTTAAACGATTAGAAGACAGAGTCACGTGATCATCAAACAGCCTGTCATCTATCCGTTTGCATCGTTCTCTCCATTTATCATTCACATCACCTCCACAAAATCTCCGCGTTCGAGCTTTGAATCAATTTGATTTCCGCTCCTTGGCGGTTCGGCCGTTCAAGCATGACATCATTGGTTGTTGTTAAATACTCCTCTCATCCTATTAGGTAAAGAGAAAGAGAATTTACTTGAATTTTATTTATAAAGCATTTAAATGATTATGTTTATCTTTATAATTTTGCCCCTATTAAATGTAGAGAAGTTTATTAATTATTAGAGTATTTTATTTTAAAATATATATATTCAATAGGGGCAAAATTAAAAACTTGTTGGATTTTTAATCAGAGTTAATAAGATTTAATGTTTTCCTTAATTATAGTAAAAATACTGAAAATAATTTATAAATAGAATTAAAAAAAGTATAAATATGATGGACTAGTTAACTGTCCTACTTGTAGGTTATAACACTAATACAACTCATTTTATAAATATGTACAACTCATTCATCAATCCAATATTCAATTACCAAATTATCATGATAAATCATTTTGTATCAAAAGTCCATCATTACTTTTTTTATTTTTTCATTTTTATTTTTGAAAAAAATAATCTACAGGTCTTTCAGTTTTCCTCAATTTTAAATTATACTCTTATAACTTATTTTATTTTAATCAAATATTTATAATTTGGTCGACTAAATATATTAATATCTAAAAATTAAATTATCAAAGAATATTGACTTTTCAAAATAAAAACACCTTTAAAATTTATAAAAAATTTGATTTAATACTTTTAGTCCAAAAAAAGTGTATACGCTACAATACTTACATTTTCCTTAATTTTTTATGAAAATTTTATATATATAAAAATCATCTTGAAAAAATAACTTAATTATATCAACTTTGAATTATAAAAATTGTTAAATTAATTTTAAAATTATATATTCTTTCTCATGAACATATACTTCCCCTATTTAACAATATAAAGTATTTTTTGAGGGGTTATATGTTAAAAAATGTAAAACATTTTTAATATTTTGAAAGACAATTATTGCATTTTTTTTAAATTCCCTTAATGAATAAATTATTTTATATTTATTTTAAAATAAAATACCCTATGGAATAGTGATAAATATAAAAAGATATTATTAGTTTGAAGACAAGTAATTATTTTATTTAGGAGTGAGATTCAATTAAAATTATCTTGTATTTTTTAATGAGAGAAGTAGAAGTCATTGATTTCATTTTTTTTAAATAAAAGATTTTAAGAATAAGAGACTAACATATTTAATTGGTAAAACTATAAAAATTTGGTTAAAATAAAATAAATTACAAGACCTAGTTGAAAATCATGAAAAACTATAAGAATTTGTTAATTAATTTTTCCTATCATCAACTTTAAAAGAAGGCCACCCTGCACGAGCATAATTCATTTAACATGCAAAAATGTACTTAAAATAAATAAAATTACACAAAATTATTGTTACTTTTGATATGGTGGGGCCTAATCAAAATTTGACATGACACTAATTTTTTTCTTGACACATGGGGCGCTAGTTGAGTTATACAATAGTCAATATTATAAGGGGTGGGAGGTAATTTATTTAGAATTTATAAATTGATAAATTTTTTTACGTATTTTAAGAATTTAGTGAGATATGTTTTGAGTAGTAATTTAATGCGTTGGATGTTTTTTAATCCAAAAATCATTCGTGTTTATTCGGCCCCCACGTGATAAACGATAGAATCTAATAGCCAATGAGTAGAACACGCGTGGTTGTGAGCCACGTGAAGGATGTGACAAGAGAAATTACTCGCGTCAGATTTTTATTTTCAAAAAGGACAAATCAAACGCCCGCGAACGATAAGATTTTCGTGGCTCCGAATTTTGTTTTTTTAATCCACTCCACTTTTATATATTGATCTCTAAATTTCAAATTATAATATAATTTAAAATCAAAATTACACATATAAAAAAATTTGATCATAACAATTTATAAGTCAATAATTTTAAAATAAAAATATAAAATTTTTAAAATATTTTATATTTAGTATAATTTTCAATGCATGCTTATTTCAATTTTCTCTTTACGGATATTATAAAAATATTATTGATGAAACATTATTTTTTATTAAATTATTTTATATTTCGAAATAATAAAATTCCTCTAACATTATCTTATAATTTTTATTAAGAGAATATAATTCAATTCCATCTAATTGCTTCCTGAGTTCTCAAATATAGAGAAAAATAATCAATTCATATCATATAAGAAAATTTATATGAAGAGAATATAATTCAATTCCATCTAATTGCTTCCTGAGTTCTCAAATATAGAGAAAAATAAAATTCATATCATATAAGAAAATTGATTAAATATAAAATTATGTTTGAAAATAGAAAGTTTGGATTAAATTATTTTTATAATCAATTAAATAATTCTTTTTGAGAAAATATTGATTTTATGATGACAACTGACTACCAAACCTGTTTTGAAAATCAATATTTTTTATTATTCAATTTTTTAAAGTTTTTTAAAAATTTTGGTGGTGGCTCTCGGTGTGTTTTTTTTTTTTAACATTTATTGACAATCTCTCTCTAAAAAAGTCACAATATGGGCACAACAAACATACTGTATCTTCTCATTAAAAATGGGTTAGGAGAGAATACTTGAAAAATAATAATTGATGCTCAACAAATACTTGCAAAATAACTTATACTTAAGGAAGAATTTTAATAAAGATCCCTTAATCATATTTAATTACATTCAAAGCCTTTAAATTTTGAATTTTTACTGCATTCTAGGGGTGCTGATTTAATATTAATTTTTTTAAAAAAATGATAAAATTATTCTTCATTTAAATTAATATCAGGACTGTCCTACTTCACCTATGCTTTACTTATCGAATGTCATTAATTGTCTTACTTTACTTATTTATTTCCTTGTAATGAAATCAAGTGAGGTAGAAAAATTAATAATAGTTCATAAGTAAATGAACAACATAAAATATATTAATCGATAGGCTATTTTAAAATAGTTTAAATACTCAAAATGAAAATAAGTTAGGTAAGGTAGTTAATAACATTACATAAATTAATGAATAAGGAAAGTAGGGCAATTAATAAAGGAAATAAGGAAATTCTGATATTAATTTAAAGGAGAGATAATTTAGTTATTTATCTCAAAAATTTCATATCAAATCAGTATCTCAATCACAATGAGATTTCAAAATTTAAGGGGTTTTAAACATAAATAAGTTTGTTCAAGTATTGTTTGTTAAATTCTCCCACTACTCAAGATCGCTGAATATTTTTAATACGCGACTGATATAGTAGCACGAGTAGCATGCAAAACATATGTGGCTCACGAGGCGTTGGCGGGGAAAAAAAGACAACAACAACAAATTAAAGCTGGGGTTCAATGCTTGCCATTTTTATCATGTGGCTAGCTCCCATGGATTAAAACTTCGACCCTCGCAATCATGGTCGTGTGAGACATACACATACGTAACTTGTCCAACTCAAATTCAATGCCAAGTTAAAACTAAATTGCCAGTCGATTAATTATTTAAAAGAGTAATAACAAAAAAAAAAGTCGCAACTGTCTCCAGTGCTTTTTTCAGGTATGGCATGGATTTTGAGCCAAGTTACGTTGTATTACAGGTGGATCACGAATAACATGGTTTTCGAAAATAAAAATTCATTGAGAACATATACGAAATACCTAAATTAACATTACAAGTCCGTCCATAAAATTAGAGGATACCCGGACAAGGAGGCACGACACGAGGAAAGAGAGAAAGTAACGTCAGCAAAGCTAACTGGCTAAGCACTGATGGTATGATTTTATCTTGCCTCTGGCACAGTTCTTGCTCTCTCTTCACCGGTGCTTCAATAATCAACTGCTCAAATGAAACTTTAATAACTGTATGCTACTGTGCCTGCAAGATGGCCCTCGTCCCCTAAGCAAATATAAGAGCAAGTAGACGCTCCCAGCTATTATACCGGCCCATAGAACAGAGAAAGACGATGATAAAGCCTCGGCTACTGTACCGATCGCACTCTACGAACCGGACGTTCTTGTTTCAGGAGAAAACTCTAGGCCATGGCACAGACGCCCTGTCCCTGCCAATATGGTCCGAGAGGTCCGTGTCGAGGCAACTTCGGACCCAAAAGGTGAGGGCCAAGCATCTGGTCTTCATCCCTCGTAATGCTCAGGTGAGCTCTCCTGCAGTAACTGAGACCACTGAGTGTGACGAGAGCTTCCAGGTCAAGGCCATCGTAAGGGTGAAACTGGCTAAGGCTGGCTTCTTCTCCAGCTTGAGTTTAGACAGACGAATCGATGACATCACCGACTTGCTGGGAAAATCTCTCCTCCTGGAACTTGTTAGCTCCCAAATTGATTCTGGTACATCCATATCCCGACCTAACTTACCTGTTTACTCATTCATTCTTTCTTTTCTGGTTATTATCGGTCAATTTCCTATTTGAATATTGAGTCTTTTCTTTCGCGTCATATGTTGCCGGACTGTGCATTCTATCCTATGAGATTTGAAGAGAAAATTAAAATGCCGGCCATTGGCGAAGCGATAAAGTATCTTTCATCTTTGGTTTAATAAACTTCCGGGGTTTTCTTCTCTACAGTAACAGCACTATATCTTTTTCCTTTTTTGTGAGAAGAAGTAGTATTTCTTTGTTGCGTAACAAGACAATGTTGCTTTTCTAGGATTTTATTCTTCTTGAGACGCAGGTCTATGTGTAGATCAGGGAAATATATAGTCATGTGTTGGATGAAGAAACTGCGTCACAGAGGCCTTTGGTTACGGAAATTATGGCTTTCTTAGCTTAACAATCTTCACACGAGATTCTCATCTATAATTTCGAACTTTTTTAATACTGAATTGCTTGGCTTATGTTTGGTTAAATGGAAATACGATCAAAGGAAAGAAAAGAGTCGGGAATTCAGTGAGAAAAATGAAAATTTGTTGCGTGCATGAATGGGATTCCTTAGCTTATCTCAGTCTTTAAGGAAAGCAGTACAATCAAATGAGTCACTGTGCTCCATAGAAATCATTATCAAACTTCGAAATTTACTGAATAAATGTATTCAAATTTTTAACATTTATCAATTTTATAATATGATGAAGGAGAGTTTCTAACATAGTGTTAATATTTTTTTAAAAAGTTATATTAATGCTTAAATAATAGTTAAATGAATGTAAATGGAAGTTGAAAAATAGAAGGGATTTGTTGGTGCAATATAATTTTTCATTTCAAGAGAAGTCTATGTGTTGTAAAGAGAACGTTTTAAAATTAAAATAAGAAAAGATGGGGAAGGTTTGTGAATTACACTTCGTGTATGCGTGTGTATAATAATTTAAATTTTGCTTCGATTCTGTATTATTAAGGGAGAATAGTAGTCGAGTTCCATTTGAGTGAATTAATGATTTAGGTGCTTGACAGTTTTTTCTGAAAAAACATATTGCAACAATCGCGACTCAAGCGTCTCGGTTATAAATAAAATTTTTAAATTTTAAATTTAATTTTTAATTTTTAATTTTTAATTAAAATTTTTGTTTGTAATTATATGAATTGAAATTTATAATTATTTGTTAAAAATAATTTTTGAGTGACCTAGCTAATTATTAATTTACTATCATTCATTCTAAGATTTGCGAGTAGCATAGATCGAAAGAGACAGAAAGTGGACCAGTGAGAAAGAGTGGTGGAGACGGATTGGCAGGCATGCACATAAGCATGGTCCCGTGCTTGTCCTTGTCTGTGTGTACTTAAGTTCTAGCTCATAAAACTCATGGAAAGCATAGCTATCATGTGTACATATCACAAATCACGCAACTTGATGTATGGTCATAATTTGCCAGCTCAGACAATAAATGAAGCGCCTTTGTCTCTATAATTAAATAGATAGACTGTGATGGGCCTCGTCCAAAGGAACAGACTTTCCATCAATGGGATACATGAGCAGATTTATATGATGAGTAGTCACATTTTTACGGATTTTAGAATATGAAGTGAATGAATGATTTAATGATAGTAATGTTTGGTGCGTGTTTACATTCTTCTGGTTACATGCAAAGTGAAATAAGAGAAACGCGAGGAAGGATTGTTAAGTGGTGTTGGTAAGCTAGAAAGAAGAATTGTGATGGAAGGAGCTAACATGAATTGTGTCAGAGACGGGAGAGGAGAAAGAGACGAGGCAGGCATACGCACACAAAGGAGGGCGGGGAGAAGAGGAATCGGTGGAATACGTGGCAGATTTTCAAGTTCCAAAAGAGTTTGGAGAGATCGGTGCCGTTCTGGTGGAGAATGAGCATCATCAAGAGATGTTTCTCGACGCTATAGTCCTCCACGGCTTCCCTCAAGGCCCTGTTCATATTCACTGTGCTTCTTGGCTTCACTCCAAGTTTGACAATCCTACCAAAAGAGTCTTCTTCACCAACAAGGTAAAGCTTCCCTCTCAACTTTCCGTCTATCTTCTTTCTCCTTTGTAATAAATAAAAAAGGAACACGCGTCTATTTTACCCGGGGGTGGGGTAGGTTGTTGCTTTGGCACATGAGTTGCTGACAGTGTTGGAGAAGAGTAAACTGATGTGGTCCCCGCACTCTTGAACAAACAAGATTCCCTTGGAGCTCGAATCGGAGAAAGGTACCTGCGAAAATGACGTTTCGGCCGCAACACGTACGATGAACAGATGCCCCTCTGGATATCGTACCGGTTGTGGTCCTCCGTATTAATCAATGGTTGCCGGAAAGTTTTACAGTGCGTCAGTGATACACAGCTCTCGTGACGTGGTCCTTTATCCTTCCCTGTCTTGACTTTGAAAATATATGCTATGCATTTATGCAGAGCTACATACCGTCGAAGACGCCGGATGGATTAAGGAGGTACAGAGAAGAAGAACTGAGGAATTTGAGAGGAAATGGAAAAGGAGAGAGGAAGAGCTTCGAGAGAATATACGATTTCGACGTTTACAATGACATCGGAGATCCAGACAAGAGGCTTGATCTCCAGAGACCTCCTCTGGGTGGTCGCGACCGTCCTTATCCCCGACGCTGTAGAACCGGCCGTCCTCCTTCCGCCGCAGGTCATCCTCTCCTCGCCCTTTCCTTTCAATTCTGTCACTCTACTTTTTTCTATCAAACTCAGTATTTAACTCTTTGTTTTATAGTTTTTTTACAATGATTTCATTCAATCCAAATTACTCTATTTCCATAAATTTTTTAGGTGTTTTATATTAATTTTTTTAATATTTAAAGAAGTAATTAATATATTTTTTAAAAAATATTAATAATAAATAAATCACTTTATTAAATAAAAATAAATATAAAAAGATAGTATTAATTTAAAAATAATTATTTATTTTATTAGATGGTGAAATTTAATTAAAATTATTTTAATTTTTTAAGGGTGGAGTATCTTTTAAAAAATTTAAGTTCAAGTTATTATTACATTGTTGTCTTAAAAAAAAAAAACTTGAAAACATCATCCCTGGAATGTTGATGGGTTAAAAATTTGTAGTTGTATTTGATGGGGTAATGAAGATTTGAATTATATATGTATCTGATACTATACATTTTTTTAACAAATTCTATCCCCCGCGCCCACCCAAAAAAGAACATTGCCCAAATATTTTGACACATCGCACACTTATGAAGATTACACATTTATGTTTTCAACTATTATAAATTTTTCTGAACGCTGAAGAATGCTTTCGAAGCAGGAATTATGAAAAAAATTTTACAAAATATATTCAATGGTCTTAAATTGTTGTGCATAATATGATCTTCGAATGTTTTCACTCTGTAATTGCAATTCTTTCACCTACCTTCTTTAAATATTTAAATATTTTATCTATTATTCAAACAATTTTAAAAATATTTAAATATTTGCTGTAATGTTTGAATATTTTACGGTAAAATTTATTTTTCTTAATTTAGATATAGCTTTATATTTACATTATTTTTCATGTTTTACCAAATAAGATAATTTAATCTTTTCACATTTAACCATGTTTCTCCTAAAAAAAAAAAAGTATAGCTTTTTTCCCTCGAAATATCTGTGTGTTGGTCCTTTTTACCAATTTTCCATTTTCGGTCTAGGTAAATTTGATGTGATGTGAGTTTGTGATGACAGGCCATAGTTGAGCAACGAGTAGCCCTCGCGGAGTGACCTAGACTTTTGTGTAGAGGTGGGAATGAAGGCCTTTAAAAGCCCAGGCTTAAAACCATGTTAAATTTAATTTAATTTTGAGGTCCGATTTTTATTAACAGAGTCAGGCTCTTAAATTTTTTTTTTTTTGGAAAAACCTAACATTTTAATTTAAATAAATTTTTAAAATTTAACATAAAATAAATTAAAATCTCAGATAAAATTTAATAAAAATTTAACATTTAAAATTTAAAATAAAAATTAAAATCTTCATCAATGTAAATGTAAATTTTCTTCATTATTAAACAAAAATAAAATATTGTGTCCCTCAAATATAAGTTCATTTGCTAAAAATGAAGGTAATGATTTAATATTAATTATTTTTATAACTTTTTTTAATCACTTATAATAAATATTAATTAAATTGTGTCATTATTAATTAAATATATGTATATATGTATACATATATATGTGTAAGATAATATAACTTGTGAGGACTTAAAGGATTGTTCGAGTTTGAGCTTTTTTTTTTTTTACATAACTTATCAAATTAGGCCTTCAAATTTAATTACTTAAAAAAATTAATTTTTAAAATTTAACTAGAACTTTTAAATTTAATTCTTTAAATTTGACCTTTATTTCCGACCATACTTTTGTGCTCAGCAAAGGCTTCAAATTTTATATATATCCACAGTGGGCTCGGCGTTTACCGCGGGGAAGGCTCGCTTTCACTAAGGCTGTCTCGAAAATTGATTAGAATTGAATTCTTCTCTCCTATTCGATCTTGTTAGGACTTTGGAATCCCGATGAGATCCCGACGCTTTATCTTTCCAATGAAGTGGATAATATGAAAGAAATATTTAAATAATAATATTTATTAATTAAAATTTTAAATTACATAACTTATAAATTTAAAATCAAAACAATACAGATAGATAATCACAATAATTTAAAATTAATTATTGATTATATTAATTACAATTATAAGTGTACAATTTAAAGTTAAGTGTACACAAAATATATCATATTATGATAATAATTATGAATAATCTCTAAATTATAAGAGCAATAATAACAGACAAATCAAACATAATATTAAATTATTGTTCTTCTTCTTTAATTAAGATGTGTTAAGCTAGTGATATTTTTAAAAATAAAGTAAGAAATATAATATAAACAAAGATTATTAAATAAATAGATATAAAAATAAATTATATTAATACAATTAATATACTGTGAAGAAAGATACTATATTATTAAAATTATCAATATAAAAAACTTTTAATTTTAAGTAAGAATTGCACATATTGAAATTATAATTAATATAAATATAAATTATATTAAAATAATTAATACATTTAACATATATTTTTAAAATAAAAAGTGTGTGTGTGGCGTCTCAATGGCAAATAGGACTTGTCCCAATATAATTAAGACAAAATTAAGCCGGTCAAGATAGATATAAGTTAAACAACCCTTACCTTTCGTCACTAATTTGCCAAAAGGATGAATTTCAATAGTGATCAGTGATTGCAATACTTTGCCCAAAAAAATTATATAAAAAATTACACGTTATAAATCCGAAGTTTAGATGTTATGAAAAAATTCATCCCTTTCGCAAAAGGGATGTTAAAAATATAAAAATAAAATTATATTGAAATTTGAATTGTTGAGTTTTGATTTGGATAACTCAGATTGATGCTCATCACTTTATTAAATGATTTATTAATTATTATTGTGTTTTAATTATTCATTAATGCTCAATGAATTTAAAATTATATTACTTACTATTTTCTTTTACAGATGCATAAATTTGTGAATTTTTTATTTCGCACATATTTTAAAAAATTGAAGTATTTTCAATGTACCGCATCAAAAAGTTCTAATTTATATGACAAGATCGTGCTTTACATATAAAAATTGAGGTAGGGTGAATTTATTCACGACTTGCCAATAATCATTTAGTGTCATATATGAAATGTGAGCGAGGTTGATGTTACATGCATGGCACAAGTAAATAGTTTATGATTGCAGACTTGTTAAAATATAATCACATGAGTTACACAGATCCATCAAGCGAGAGGAGAGCGAAAAGATTTTACGTTCCGAGGGACGAATGCTTCTCGGAGGTGAAGCAGCTGACATTCTCAACCAAGACCTTACACTCCGTGTTGCTAATCTTGCTTCCAACTCTGGGGAGAATAATCAAGGACAAGGACATGCCATTTTCATACTTCCATGATATTGACTCCCTTTTTAGCACTGGATTGGACTTGCCTCATTCGGAAAATCTCGAGAAAGAAGATGGTTTTCTTTCTGCCATTATGCCCAGGCTTGTCAGGCCCGCCATGGATGATTTAGACTACTCTACCTCTGCTCCTCCAGGCAGCGTTCTTCGCTTCGAGACTCCTGAGGCTATGAACAGTTACACGGCTATTCCTCTTTTTCATTCTATGCTTTATAGTATACTTTGTCGGTGATTCATTCATTTAGCTCTGCAGGGGATCGATTTTTCTGGTTCAGGGACGAGGAATTTGCTAGACAGACTATCGCTGGTCTGAACCCAAATTGCATAAGACTAGTGACGGTAATCATCAATTAGATTTTCAATACCCATTGATTCATATTTCTCGTAAGTTTTAACTCGCTTGGGAATACTGTAGGAATGGCCATTGAGAAGTAAACTCGATCCAAATATCTACGGTCCCGCAGAATCAGCAATTACCTCGGACATAATTAACAAAGAAATTGGAGGACTGCTCACTGTACAGCAGGTCTGTCCCACTGTCTGCATGTAAACTGCTTCAAAAAAAAAAAAAAAAAAACCAATTCCAAGAGGTAGTAGTAATGCATGGATACGTGCATGCGCAGGCTGTAGAACAAAAGAAGCTGTTCATTCTAGACTACCATGATCTATTGTTGCCGTATGTCAGCAAAGTACGAAAACTGAAAGGGACGACACTATATGGATCGCGAACATTATTCTTCCTAACTCCAGCAGGGACACTGAGACCTCTAGCAATTGAGCTGATCAGACCGCCCATGGATGGAAAGGACCAATGGAAGCAAGTTTTTACACCTGACTGGCACTCCACCAGCGTTTGGCTCTGGAGGCTTGCCAAAGCCCATGTTCTTGCTCACGACTCTGCTTATCATCAGCTTGTCAGCCACTGGTTCGTCATCCTAGACAACATTTCTCTTTCTTAACATTCGCTCCTGTGATCTACATGAAGGCCACCATTAACTGTTTTTGTTTTATATGTAGGTTAAGAACTCACTGCGCGACAGAGCCTTACGTCATATCGACCAACCGGCAATTGAGCGAGATGCACCCAATATATAGACTGCTTCATCCTCATTTTCGGTACACTCTGGAGATAAACGCTCTGGCTCGCGAGGCTCTTATTAATGCGGATGGCACCATTGAAAGCTCCTTCTCTCCTGGAAAATACTCCATGGAGCTCAGCTCTGCCGCCTATGATCTTCAGTGGCGTTTTGACATGGAGTCTCTGCCTGCAGACCTCATGAGAAGGTAATCTAATTACTGTAACACTCACGTGAGCTTTACACCGCCAGCTATGAAATAGTTTTGATTTTATACGTCGTGTCTTTGCTATTTTGAAGGGGAATGGCCGTGGAAGATCCATTTCAACCCCATGGGCTAAGGCTGACAATTCAAGACTACCCATTTGCCAATGATGGACTTCTTCTGTGGGACGCTATCAAGGAATGGGTCAGTGATTACGTGAACCATTATTACCCAGATCCAGGTCTCGTGGCGACGGATCAAGAACTTCAAGCATGGTGGACAGAGATTCGGACAGTAGGCCATGCAGACAAAAAGGACGAACCGTGGTGGCCGCGACTTCGAACCCAAAAAGACCTCATTGAAATCCTGAGCACAATCATATGGGTAACTTCGGGCCATCATGCTGCCGTGAACTTTGGGCAATACGCCTATGCGGGTTATTTCCCAAATCGACCGACTATGGCAAGAACTAAAATGCCCACGGAGGACCCTTCACCAGAAGAATGGGAAAAGTTCTTGAGAAAGCCCGAAAGAGCTCTCCTAAAGTGCTTCCCTTCGCGGCTTCAAGCGACGAGGGTTATGGCAGTGCTGGATATACTGTCAACACATTCGCCTGATGAGGAATACATAGGGGAGAAGATGGAGCCATCATGGGGCGAAGATCCGGTGATAAAGGCTGCGTTTGAACGATTCAGAGAGAGACTGAAGAAGTTTGAAGGAATTATTGACGAGAGGAACCGGAACGGTAAGTTGAAGAACAGGAATGGAGCTGGCATTGTTCCGTACGAGCTGCTCAAGCCTTTCTCCAAGCCAGGGGTTACTGGCATGGGCGTTCCTTGTAGCATCTCTATCTGATTTGGAAAACGCTATGCCAGCAGTACTGCACCCTTGCGCCCACTTTATTGTCCATCCCTTGATTTCCACTAGCTAGATCACGACGCTCATTAAACAAGGGGGAAAAAACAAAAGGAACTGCTAATATTTCTTGAACTTGGGGAGCTTTGGGTGATTAGGAATCTTTAATTTTGGCGGCTGTTCTTCAATCCACGAAGTCAAGACCAAAACCAGAATCCCGTTGAAAACTGTCCAACGGGGTCCATCACCTTCCCTGCATATGATAAATAAGCAACCAAAGTAAGACAAATTAAACCACCGATTAGCAATTAAACAGATACTCTATAAGCGAGAGAAACAAAAATTATGAAATTTGAGTTGCATGCAGCAAACATTGCAGATGCCGACAGTGGCCATCTATCCTGGATCTATCGACTAGTGTTGAAAATCTCGTGTGATTGAATCTAATGATATTTGAATCAAACTTGATAGTGTTGATAGATTATCATGTATTTTTATATAAAAAATTCATGATCCTACTCCTATTAAATGGTCGTGTGGAGTCATCGACAGAGAAGGAAGCGAAGGAAAATGTTTGATTGATTCCCACTCAGGGATGCACACAAGAGGGGTTGTTTTTGCTTTGTCATGATTTAGAGCAAAAGGTCTTGAATGGTATCACGCAAAAGCTAGATTTTTCCCCTGCGAATTAAATATTTAAACCCTATCCAAACGTGGGGAGAGATATTAAAGAAATTAAAACAAAGTAGCACATACCTAATGAAATGGAACTAGTTTCACATATGAGCATTGAGTGCTCAATTCCTTGAGATTGTTGAGATCTAATTTAAACGATAAAAATTTACAGCATTTTACTTTTATTTCTTTAAAAGAAGATCTCTTAACTGTCAGTTTTTTACTTTTATTTTAATAACAATAGAATTTAAAATAAAGACAATCTCTTAGCTGTCAGTTTTTTAAAATATAATTTTCATTTAAAAAAATTCATTGAAAAAGCTATAAATATGGATTATAAAAATTAAATCTAAACGGTTCAAAGATGATGAGTTGACAATGCTCATATATAAGATAAGCACTAAAATTGACTCCCTAATAAAATGTGGAAAGGAAGTTGAGATAAAATCCATTTAACATTTGCTAATTATCTGCTATCATTCTTTTTCTTTAGAAAAAAAAAAATCATTCATGCAGTATATTAATCAAGTACGGTTGATTAACCAAGCAGAACCATGGACGTTATCGTCATCTTACATTGATTCCAGGTTATTAGGCACGCCGGTTCTTCCCCACCCTTTTTTATGGAATTAACATTTTTTAATTGGGAGAATATCATTAGGTGCCTTGTTAGCATTTTGATTCATACTTAAAAAAAAAATTGTAAATACAATATACTCCCTCTAATTACATTTATGAAATATGTTTTAGAGAGTTCATTTGATCTCACTTATAAGTCACAGTGTGACTTTTTTATGTAATATTTCAAAAATATTTTTAAAATTATCTTTCATAAAAAATAAAAAGTAATATAATATTACTTTTTAGATTTGTTATATAAGCATATTTAATTTTTTTTTTTGTATTGGTATTGATGAAATTGATAGAAGTTGTTTATAAAAAGGATCAAAGAAATATTAAAATTATCAATCTTAACAGCGGGAATCAACATGTGCATGCGTAATTTGCGTGGCTATCGCTTGACAACTTTGAATGAATATGGGCCAAGCTGTGCGTTTTGAAATGAACTTTGTAGATTATAAAAATAGGCCGAAAAGACCCCTAGAGCTCTATCTAATATCTATTGGTGCGAGCGAGAAGAGTGATGCCAGAAAAAGGTCGGGCAAATTTTACCAAATAAATAAATAAATAAATAAAGGTTAGGCAAAACTAGAATTTAAAAGAATTCGACTTTGATAGGGCTGGCAAAAATGAGGCCGGTAAGGTAACGTTGGGTGTTTTGATGATGAAGGAACGTGGCATGGGGGCTTTGCTAAGAGGATTGGCATGTGTTCTGAAGAGTGGCGAAGGAAATGGGAGTGAGGAAGCTGGTTATTGAAGGTAGCTCAATGCCTGTTGCAATCAGCATGATTAACGAGGTATGGGATGTACCGGTGGTGAAAAATGATATACTAAAATTTTGCCAGATTGAAAACTATCGGAGATGTGCTTTGTCCAGATTGGCATGTCAGGGTATTCTGTCATTCTATCTTCCTTTGTTACAAGGAAAATGCGTCGAACACCATAACTCGTAACAATTTAAAAAGGTCAAATTTTATCAATCCAGATTAAGTTTTACAAGTTTCAACTTTCAAAAAAAAAATGCAATCCATAATTCAGTTAAAAGTATCTGGAATTTGTTGATAAAAAAAATAGTAACTGGTAATTTGATCAAGCAAAAACTTCATAACGTGTCATCAAAATGCCAAGGAAATCCAAACCTGCCATGCATATGAATCATAAGTACGATCAAAACATGAAAAGCCCTGTTTTTTTTTTTTAATTATTTGAAGAGGATGATGCAGAGACTACAGCAAAAGCATCGTCAACAATGCAAATTTCTTGTCCGGAAGATCGCTAAATAACTGTTTCAGACAGAGTAACAAAGCTAGCTGGGAGAAGCTTGCTGAAGAACTAATACTGAAATTGTCAACCGTAATCAACAAAATCTACACATCTGTCTGTCATGCATGCTTATTGGTCCTTATGAATATTCAGGAAACACATGAAGAACAAAGGAGGTTTTGAGACCAACAGGCGCCCTGTAAGGACTAAGGAGATCATATCCACTAAGTCACTATCACCAGACTTCTCATCAGAAAGATGCAGGGGCCTTATTACTTTTCAGATAAGCATCATGATGATGATGATGATGATGATGATGAATTTGAACATGGCTGTAATGTAGGAAATATAAATTAAAGATGCAAGAGGAAAACAACTTGAATTTAAATTCAAATCCTCAAAATCAAAAGGGAATTAATGAGAGGGAACCAAATGGAAACCCATTGCTGCAAAAAAGTGAAGACATGGGAAAATCAAATACAAAATTAAATAAAGAAATAGGATTACTAGTTCTCAATTCCTATCCGTAAGTGATCTGGTAAAATGAGAAGGATGAAAGATACTGCTCAGCCTGCCATTTGATTACTTGCACTGCACACCTGCTTCAGCAGCTCGACGAGGCTTGCTTTTACGCCTGCTTCCATTCTGCCTAAGTCCATCAACCTTTGTCTGATCATCAGTGCTTGATCGGTTTCCATTACTTTTTTCCTCCTCAACTGACCCTAATTTCTCTTTCACCAGTGAATTTCGCTTCCTCTTCTTTCCATGTTCTGTTGCAGTGGGACTTTTCATCTCCTTGTTAGCGGCTCCATTCTTAATATTATCAGTTTCACCTTCCTCTATTTTTTCAACATCTTCTTCATCTAAGTCATCCTTCAGTGGTTTTTGTGGTCTTCCCCTTCTCTTCTGTGTGGAAACTTTATCATCTTCACCGCTTCCAGGATCCTCATGACTGGTCACAGTTAACTTTTTACTCTTTCCTCTACCTCTACCCATGATCTTAAAACCCCTAGTAAAGATGTGACCGTGCAAATAAGTATCTCTGCCATTAAAACGCACACAATGAACCTTGTAGCTTTCAATTTAACCAGACATGTATGAACAAAAGGAATGAGATGGTTGGGCATCAAAGCCTGGCAAATATCCAAATGTAAGAAGAAACTAACAAGATCACAAGATCGCCAAACATATAAATTATTGACTAGATTTCCACCCTTAACATGGAAAAGCAACGACAGACATCAACAATGCCACTAACTTAAACAATCACATAGGAGACATGTTCGTCTACAATATCCACCAGGTAAGAACATACTAATCTGAAGGATTTTACACTTGGTCAGTTTTTAAATTCATTGAGATCACCTTATTGGACTTCAAGGTGAAGAAGAAGAAAACTCATTTTACGAAAAAGAAACTTATAAAGATGACAATATCAAAAAAAGAAACTTCCATTTAAAGTGTTACAAAAGTGAAAAATCAGGTCCGAAATAATATCCTCTGTATGCACTATGGCCAAAAGTTAAAAATCGTATGTAAAATTGCTAGCTGAATAGTGCTGATATGGCAATTAAAAAGACTAGAGCTTTTCTAACTCAGTTGCTCTCGCATTTTCTTTATAGTCTCAAATCTGACGGTCCATTAAATTCATGCTTTGATTTTCCAGTCATAAGCCAAAAAAGAACATTAATGCTGCCTACGGTAGGGAAAAGAATTGAACTTTAGACTAATAGCCGAAAGGTTCACACGAACCTTGCCAAAACCTATAATCCAGTACATGCAAAAAGAATATTAGGTTAAACGAAAAGGAAAAACATGAAATCGATATATGGAAGCTAACGAATCGAGGAAACATAAGCAAGATAAACTTCTAGCTATACGGTATCTTTGAGAGATCTAAAATAAAAAACGAAAGAAATAGGCCTGTAACTGAAAGAAATGATAATTCCGAATCAATAATACTGCTTTCAAATTTCAAAAACCACAAATTGAAAAAGTTAAAGCAACGCACGACAAATGGAATGAAAATTCTAATACGAATTCAAAATCAAAAGAAAGATAGCGATACTGACAAGGAATGAGAGCGATTTGATAGGCATCACTAGCACGACACTCAATAAAAAGAATTGGCCGAAGTTCCCAGGGCTCTGAATCAAGCAATACTCAGAAGTAGATTTGTACAGTAAAACCTGAAAGCATGGAAAATTTAAAAGGCAAAACTATGATCTGACTCAGAAATGCCCGATACGAAGATAATGAAACACTGAGAATCAATGGATTACAGATTAGAAAACGAGTATGAACAGCGGGGGTTCAAAGAACAACTGGCCAAATGAAACAGAGGCGAAGTAGGGATAGAGAGAGAAGCAAGGGGAAACGAAAATAGATATTTGTGGATTGGCTCTTCTAGTCTTCGGCATGTGACTCTGTTAAGTGTACTCATACGCAAATGCCTGCGACCGCGTGTGAACGGTGAACCGAGGCGCGGTAGAATTACAAGAGCAGGGTTAAGTTGGTAATTTGGCAGGTTAGTCTCTGAGCCAAATCCTCACACCCCGGCTGGATCTAGCAAAGCTGAATGTCAACTCCAAAATCAAGAATGCAAGGCACCTGTCTCCCATTAGTGAGACCTATAAAGCTACAAATCGTTGAAAAAGAGGGACATTCTCGTGTTCAATGGCTTCGCGAGCCATCCCTTACACTAATCTTCAGATTAGAGCGCAATTATGTATGTGTGGGCGTTTCCTCAATGGCCACTGGTCCTGGACAGCTCGCAGATGTGTTCACACTTTTCAGCAATGCTTTTGTTGACAAAAAAAATAATAATAAAATTCTCCTCTGGGAGTGACCGTTGTTGTACCTGCTTTCATTATTATTCCAGGACATTTTCAATTGCTTCATTCATCTGATATTATAAAAGATAAGATTTATTTTTATTTTTATTTTTATTTTTAAATCATGATACAATTATAATAAATATATTCATGTTAATAAAAAAATATAAAATTAAAAATAATTTAATTATTATAAAGTACCATATATTTTGAATTAAAAATTATTTTTAAAATGTGTGCTACAGATAAAACTAAAAGGAGTATTTTATATACTCTGCTTTCTAAATTTCACAAAGTCACCTACCCAATATGAGTTGAAAATTCAATTCAAATAAATATAGAATCGTGTAATTATAATTTCGAGGATTCTTTTTTTAGGAAAAGGGAAGAGTTTGGGCTGTAGAATTCCCAAGACCAGTCACATAGACATGGTGTATTTAAATAAATATGGATATAGCATTTTACTTAAAACAAAAAAAAAAGCAAAAAACAGAAGATAGATGTTACAAGACATAACTGCGTGCGACATTGCGAGGTATCACATACTATGGTTCATCTGTATCTCAATCTCTCACTAAATGCATACTCTCTCCATCCTTATATATGAGACATTTTTAATCAAATCATATAAATCAATAGAAGTTAATTATCTAATTAAAAGCATAACAATATTTTAATTTTGTTCTTAATTATTGTAAAAAAATATTTTTTTTCAAAGTAAATTCATAAGAGTACTTATCTTTTTTTATTCCAATTTAATAAGGGATAATGATCCATTTATTTAAAAATATGTTAGTAACCTCTTATGTTTGGGGACGAAAAAGGTTTTAGAAGACCTCTTATATATAAAGACGAAGGGAGTACTCTTCATTCTTTTTATAGATGTGACAAATCAAGGTGCTTAATGATATTGGAGTGGAACATTTTGTGGCAAAGAATGTGTTGGGACTAAGGATATGTATTTGATTGATTGGAATTCACAATGTTTATCCCCAACAAAAATTCTGGCCTTACAACTGAAACTAGAAAGCTATAGTCAATGATAAAATCTCTGGGATTTGTAGGGCTTTAAAAAGGGGGAAAAGAAGCTAGTAGTAATTTGTGAGTCTTAAGTTGGCTTCGTCCTAAAATAGTTGTCACTGCTTGTATCCGCTTAACTAAATTCACCTATAACATGTGATGTTAATCAATCCTATCCCCTCGTTTTTCATGAAGGAGAATGTCTGATTGATGTAGCCCAAGGTACGTAAAACCAGACCGGTCATTGAACCGGTCATGGCACTGAGTTACGGGTTAGTGGTTCAATTAGGGTTGAACCGAAGGTTGAACCGGTGGCAAATCGGTTATGATTAAAATATATAATTTAAATAAAAAAACATTAATTATAAAAACATTCAACCAAATCCAACCACTCAAAAGTCTAATAGTAATAAAATACAACACTTTAAATATCTATCATTACAATTACAACTCTTCAATCTCAAAAGTCTAGAGAAGAGATGGAGATAGAGTTGGAGAAGAGACGGAGAGTCAGAGATTAAGCTGGAGAAGAGATGGAGATAGCAGAGACGAGCTGGAGCCTGGAGAAGAGACGCTGATTAGGTTAGGGCGAGAGAAGAGAGACACAGATGAAAGGCCAAACTAAATGCTGTTTAAAAATCTGGATTGGACTTAGCGTGCTCTACCTCTAATTTCTCATTTTTTAACTTTAGTTTCACTTTTTTTTATCTTATTTCTGAACTCAACACTCTAAAAAATCAAAAATAAAAAAATCCAAAAAAAATAACCCGGTTGACCCAGTCAACCCACCGGGTTATACTGGGTTGAACCCGGGTTGACCGAGTTACACCGGTTCATTCCCTCACCGGTTTAGGAGTAAACCCAGACCGGATAAGGGACCGGGTCACCGATTTTTGGGTTGACCCGACCAGTCTGGTCCGAGTTTCAATACCATGATGTAGCCTCATCTTTTAATGATTGATCCTTCTTTAACAAAGTAAGATGGTATTAAGGGTTGCCCTTGGAGCGGTGGAGGACATATTGGCCTCAAGACTTTTTGAGCCTTTCTTTCTTGTACAGTAATAATCATTAACATTAGCCCTATTTTGGTTTGCTAATGTCTTTATTAGTCTCTGGTACAATGAAGCCTTTATGGTGACAACATGCTTGTGCATGTGTTTTTTTTGCCACCAACTGTATGCATGTTGAAAATCAAAACCTTTGATATTATGGATGTTGTGAGCTTTGAACTTTGAATTGTTAATTCAACACCACTAACTTAGTACATGTATCAAGTTGTGGTCAAATTTGTAAGTTAGAGAATCTAGTCCTTTAAAATTCCTAGGTTTTACTGAATTGAATGCATTAGACTTATCTAGACCTATCATGATTACTTAATAGATACTGGACAGCAGAAGTGGACCCTTTTTTGGCATCTTTTACCTCAAAAAACCTCTTTTTGATATAGCAGTTGTCTTAATTAATGTTAATGGGCGAGAACAACCTTCATGTCTCTAGAATCTTGTGGAAAATGGAAAGTTCAGTGTGAAATCTTCCTATACTGAATCACAATACTTGACCTAGAATGGTACTGATGTAAAATGAAAGCATGTTTGGAAACAATTAGTGGCACAATGGGTAAAATCTTTCACGTGATTGCTCCTTAAGGATAAGCTTCTAACATTCTGAGAGATACCAAAGATACGCATGGCTTCTAACCAATACTGCTCTCTACACTTTGCATTTGTGGAATCTATGGATCGTGTTTTTAAGGATTGCACTTTAGCCTTCTTGTTCGAAAGAAAGTCTTGCCAGCTAACTAGCCTAACATGTGTATAGATTTTTATAGGAAAAGCATTGACACTTTGTTCATTCAACTCAAGCACAACACTCATGCAAACACCTCCTAGACGACTGGAGCAAGTATATAACGAGCATAAGATAAAAGAGAGACCTCATCTCAAAAGACTGGCCTGTTAGCGAGAAAGCTTTTCACATTTATAAACCACATACCACTTGTGAGGTTCCTTGATATAGGATTCATGACAATGCCACCTTGTCGAGAGCTAACGTTCCTGACAGCTCCACTCCACAGTACTTCACTTAGCCTCTTACCAATCAGAAGATTTTATGGGTAGTCCTTTCTGTGACACCAACCTCTCAATAAAAGCACCAATGTAATGAACACAAATCCAAAAGGAAAGCACATCCCAAAAGACTAACATGTTAAGTAGAAGAGCCCCTCATACTTATAAACCCCACACCACTTGTGAGGTTCTTCGTAAATGGTATGGGATTTATAAGTGTGAGTGACTTTACTCTCCAACATGCTAGTCTTTTAAGATGAGCTTTTCATTTAAACTTATGCTTATTACAAACTATCCTTTATTGGAAACTTTGGGAAGTTAGAAATCTTTGATCCCAGTTGGTTGCTAAAAAGAAATAAAATGGAAGTGGTTGAAAAAATCGAAATAAAAACGAACTGAATTAACCTTTCTCCTTATAATAAGTATGATAAAGCTCATTAATATACACTACAAATGCAAAAATCATTACACTTTCAAAAAATCACATGAATCATGATTCCTAATTCCATGAATTAAATTATCGCTTTCTCTTATGAATGTGGTCACCTATTCCTTTTGACCATCTTGTTTTTATCTTTATTTCTTTAATTAATTTCATTCCATTATTTTTTAATAATCAAATGAGACCTTTTTGTTTTTACTGAAAATCTTTTATCCGTAATGGCGTTCTCCATCAAGTTTGTGTTATTGTTGATCATACTATTAAAGCTTCTTGTATTTTTAATTCTATGATGTAATTTGTTTTGTACTGGCTTTTACAATTTGCTGGGACTGTCTTTGTTCCTCTTACTTGAGCAATAGACTACCCATTGCACTCAAAAATTAGTGGGTGCATCATGCAACACCATTGACAACGACGTTTCCACCATTCCAGGCTGGCTGTAAATTCAAAACACTTTAATATATGGGAGCAGGTGTGCATGTGGTGTAGTGAACTAGTAATAGAAACAAACCTGCTCAATTAATTTAAGGAAAATACTAAGCACTTTTTCCTAATCCTGTACTGTGGAGTTTGATTATTGCGTTGCATTATTTATAATTTATAAATAGTTAATTTTTTTTGCCACAATAATTTATAAATAGTTAATTTAGATATGTACCACTTACTATTTTTGTGAATGGCATAAAATTTGATATAAATTACATAACAGCTTTTTTTTTTTGGGCCCAGGGAACAACAACTTATATTTATGAACAAATAGAATTGTTATTTTACACGTTGAATATGGATGTTGATTAGTAAATTTTTATTCTTCTTTTATTTATTTGATTGAGCAGGATTTGAGCATTGTCATGTCAATAGGATAACTCTCTCAAAGACATTTTTTAAGTGAATCAACAATGTTCAAGTTGAGCTTGAGGAGGAAGAGAAAGAAGGGAAAGGGAGGAAGAATAAGAGAGGAAGTTGAACATGCAAGGTTTCTACGCACCATAGTTCCTTTTTTAAACGGGAGCAGTTGAATCTTTTCTTTAAAAACATAATTACAATCAAAGCTGGCCCGCAAAACACTATCAGATTCTATTGAAACTTGCATGCACCATGGTTCCCTTTTTAAACGGGAGGAATATAGTCTTTTCACTAAAAACATAATCATAATCAATACCTTTTGGCTTGCAAAATAAATAAATAATAATGCTGTGTCTGCTAAAGATTT